TACATAATGACTGGCATCAAGAATGACTGAATGAAAAGGGTATTCCTTATCTGAGTGCCTCCCGCAGATAAACCCACCCTCAGACACATCTGTGCCACATCCACACACACAGACTACTGGTCTTCAGATCAGAGATGAGAAGAGGCCATCTTATCTATGACACTCCAGAACCACTTCAAGCATGTTCACACTCGCTACACTCCCATGAGGCTCAGATCCAGCATTCTGAGTCCTTCCCCTGGCCCCATCTCACCCAACCACGCATCGAACACCCACAGCACACTTATCTTCCTCTGGACAGACTACATGTCACCCCTTACACCATGCTGGAATGCGATTAGCTCCATCATTGCTATTAGCACTAGCTAATTTCATTCAAGGCTCCCTCCAATGTTTCATTTATCAGTCCTCTCAACTGGCTGGATTTTCTCGCTTGCGTTGGCTGATGGATGGGAATGGATCCCGCGGCACAAATTTTTGCCGGTAGCATTCACACATGCAGGCACAAGTACAGACAGGTCGTGCACTGACAGGCAGGCAGCCATTTTAGAGTTGTTTAATGTATAGAAGAGCACATTTGGTTGCTGTGTCTGAATTAAATACATGCTGTTTTTAGTTAACTCATTGGAAATGGCTTATATTGGATTTACATTTGTATTTTTTAAAAGGTGAGGTAATTTCCTGGAGAGATTTACTGTACATTTTCCTTCCTTTACAATGTGCAAATCTTTTTTCCCCAGATAGATATTAAAAGTATTGTAATAGAAGTGTGGTTATAATAAAGATAACATGTTGATTATTTAATGTATATTAAATGTACTGTAATGTTTTTAAATTATGTAAATATACATTTTAAAATACATTTTAAATTAAATGTATATTAAATGTACTGTAATGTTTTTAAATTGTGTAATGTAAATTTTTTTGAAAGAAGTCTCTTGTGCTTATCAAGGCTGCATTTATTATTTATTCATTTATTTAAAAAACAAAAACAATTTCAACTGTAATTTATTCTTGTGATGGCAAAGCTGAGTTTTCATCAGCCATTACTCCAGTCTTCAGTGTCATATCATCATATGATCCTTCAGAAATGTTTATGTATATACGTATAAAGAAAATATAATACAGAAATCAAATATATGTAGATATATGCTGATAATCTCTTATTATCAGTGCTGAAAACAGTTGTGCTACTTTTAGCAGTATTCTTTGTCTTTGGTAAATAGAAAGTTAAACTGTTAAACTGTTCCTTTAAAATATAATATTTTGTAACATTGCTGTTGCTTTTAATCAATTTAATGAGTCCTGACTGATTAAAAGTATTGAAAAAAGAAATGTGTTACATTATCACAGTTACACATTCCCATTTTCCAGCTTATTTAAAATTGCAAACATGAAATCATGTCTTTCCTGCCAAATGAAGTAGCTGCTGTCTTGACCTTGAGCTAACCCCTAGGCTTTTTGTCTCTTCTCAACAGGTGGTCGCCTCCTCTGCCTGGTGTTATGGCTTAACCTGGTGCCAGTGATGAATGGCTGCCCGGCGAAGTGCATGTGCTACAGCGAGCCGAGGCCAACCGTGGCCTGTCAACAGCAGGGTCTGTTCTCTATTCCCACCGAGATCCCCGTCCGTAGCCAGCGAATATTCCTCCAGAGCAACAAACTGACAGTGATCCGATCGACCAGCTTTAGTTCAGTGCATAACCTCACCGTCCTGTGGATGTACTCGAATAACATCAGCCATATCGAGGCGGGGGCCTTTTACGGACTGGAAAGACTGGAAGAATTAGACATCGGCGACAACAGCAACCTTCGCATCATCAGTCCCACCGCGTTTCGGGGTCTGACCAAGCTGCACACCCTTCACCTGCACAGGTGCGGGCTGTCCGAGCTCCCGGTGGGAGTTTTCCGAGGACTCTTCTCGCTTCAGTATCTCTACCTGCAGGATAATAACCTTCTGGCGCTGCACGAAGACACTTTCCTGGACCTGGCCAACCTCACCTACCTATTCTTACATAACAACAAGATCAAGGTGGTGACCGACCACATGCTGCGTGGTCTCATCAACCTTGACCGTTTGCTCCTGCACCAGAACCGCATCATACACGTGCAACAGCGGGCTTTCAATGACCTGGGCAAGCTGACCACCTTGTTTCTCTTTTTCAACAACCTCACCATGCTGACAGGAGAGGCCATGAACCCGCTGGTGTCCCTCCAGTACCTGAGGCTCAACGGAAACCAATGGATTTGCGACTGTCGAGCCAGGCCGCTGTGGGACTGGTTCAAACGCTTCAAAGGGTCCAGCTCCGAGTTGGAGTGCCACCTTCCGACCTCTCTAACCGGGAAGGACCTTAAGCGACTGAAGAGCGACGATTTGGAGGGATGCGTGGACTCTCCGTCACAGGTTCAAACCAGTATCTTCAACACCAAGGCACGCTCTGGAAAGTTCCTCTCACTCGACGATCCTCTCGTCAAAAGCATTCCCAGGTGCTGTCTTTCGGATAACGACAAATCCTCCATTATCTCCAGTAAGTCCCTCCCGGATCCTTCATCCTACAACAGCCGGCAGATCACCAACAATCCCCTGAAAGAGAAGGAGAACATCTCCAAAACCAAGTTTCGGGAGGTGGAGCGAACGAAAAACGACACTCACAATAAGCAGAGTCTCAACGATGGTCCTTTGGGAACCATGTCCAACAACCTCGACCAGACCATGGACAAAATCAACCCAGATCTTCTGGACAATCTGGAACCTTCTACAGCGCCAACCAGAAAGAAAAAAAAGTGCTCCAAAAAGCCCAAATCAGACCAGTATTGTCTAAAGGCTCACGCATCCACCATTCAAGTATTGGCCGTTCTCTTTCTCCCCTTGTTCTTGTTGTCTCTGGCTTTGTCCTAGTTCATACTCTCGTCCATCAGTTTGCTCTTTACAATGACACAAAATACCTGCAGTAGCCTACGTGGACAGGCAAAAGACGATGAAAAGGGGGTTACGACGTTGCCCCGCATGGTTGAGAATAAGTTGTAATGCTAAAGACGCATTAAAAGAAATGAATGCCTTTACAGAATACATGAGATCTAATGTATATAAAACACGGTGCCCAAATGTTTGTTCTATGTACTTTTAATGTGCTGTGTTTAAGCAACACTGCGGAGAGTTCCCTATTCCCACATCACCTCCAAAAAAAAGTTGATCTGAAAGTGACTATTGTAGATGAACCACTAAAAAAAGAGAAAAAAAATCCTTAAACCATGACTAAACTAAACCAGAGCGCCGAAAGCACCCAGGAATGTTGCCGATGAGAAACCGAAGGGGAGTGACATGATTTTTTTCCCCCAGTATATATATATTTTTTTTTTTTTTTCTTTTAAAAGTGATACATTTATTCTATGCTGTTTTTTATGTTTCTAAGTATTTCAGTAAAGACAAATGTTTAACTCTTCCCAAATATGTGCTATGTTCTGTTTGCGTCATGACACACACTGCAGGTGGCATCTTGGGAAGGAATGCTGTCTATTTGTTCACTGAAATTGCGATGGAATCATAGATATGCATTTTATTTTGCTGGTGTACACGCATAAATATATGACAAATAAAATATCTCATTTTTTACAGATGGCTTCTCAAGTGACTGAAGAACATAGCATATACTATATAGCATATAGCATATATTTCATATTATATTGTAGTTATATTGCAAACAAAAGGTAATTATCCTTTTTTTAAGCAAATTCAAAGACTAAATGAAACCCGAAGGAACTGAATGTCTATTTTGTGTATATTCCATTAGGACTGAAACCTCAAAGGCACACATTTCTGCTCATTAATGAACTTTAACATAATCACTAATGATTCATCCATGTGCGAAGCGCAGAAATTCACAACTTGAAGCTTGCCAAAACAACCAGACATCTTTCATAACCACATTAATGAATTTGACACTGACTGAAGTTAAGAGTACTCCTCGTAGTACAGGTTTCTTCTACTTGGCTTTCACCATTAAGGACTTGAAATAATATTATGACATTTCCGAAGTATGTGTGTGTGGTGTGAGGAAATGCTGATGAACAATTATGATAAAATGCACGTCAGCAGCAGTAAAATCGACATTCTTTGTATACGTTTGCCATTGACAATGCCAAATGCCACTTAAAATACAATAATGCAGTTCATAAATATTCTATTAATAGCACAACATTTACAAGAGATCATAACTAGTGATTTATTTGTATTAATGTTCCATTTTAATAACGTTCTCCTATGCTTTTATATGTTTATACAATCTTACATTCATATTTTACATTTATGCATTTAGCACAGGCTTTTATTCAAAGTGACTTGGAGGAGCAAAGAGGAACAAATTCAGAATAAATGGAAAAACTCATCCTAATTTGTATTAAAAGAACATACTAAAACTTGTTGGACCAACACACACACACACACATGACCCTGGACCACAAAACCAGTCATATAGGTCAATTATTTTTATTTTTTTTTTATTGAGATTTATGCATCATCTGAATAAGCTGAATAAATAAGCTTCCCACTGATGTATGGTTTGTTATGATAGATTAATATTTGGCCAAGATACAACTATTTGAAAATCTGGAATCTGAAGATACAAAAAAAATTAATAATAAAATAAAAATATTGAGAAAATCGCCTTTAAAGTTGAAATGAAGTTCTTAGCAATGCATAGGCCTATTTCTAATCAAAAATTAAGTTTTGATATATTTACGGTAGGTAATTTACAAAATATCTTCATGGAACATGATCTTTACTTAATATCCTAATGATTTTTGACATAAAAGAAAAATCGATCATTTTAACCCATATAATGTATTGTTGGCTATTGCTACAAATATACGCGTGCTACTTATGACTGGTTTTGGTCCAGGGTCACATATATAGCTCAGGTTGGTTGGTACTTTATCATGTATTGTAAAACCTGCAAAACATTTGTTGACATCTTTAAGTAGTTCCTCAACAGGGATCACAACATATTTATTCATCTAAAATAGAATCCTTGCACTATTTATTCCCAATTTAGACTGGAAATGTCATATCAATGAACAACCTCTAATCTGTAGTACACATTGAGAAGTGCTCAAGTATGGGTCATAGACTATCACACTGTAGGAATCCGTGTTCTGTCCTCTCCCATAAACAGATGGCAGCCCGTGCTGGGATTGTTTGCGGATGATGACCCATTGCTTTGTCAAATCTGGCCGGCGCTCAAGTCCTCGTCCACTGCCTTCAACTACTCGTGTGCTGCAGGAGTCTGGCAGGAGAGAGCAAAGCACACTTCAGTAGGGAGAGGTTTAGCCAGAAGTCGTATGTTAAACTAAACACAGTCCTGTCAGCTCATTTACACCCTGTCTACAATGCTAGCGACACAGTAAAAATAGAAAGCTCACGCTCTAATCGATGAAGCCATCTTTAACATGCACAATAAGCGTGCATTGATGAATAAGCTTTGTTGGTTATAATGAAAACGTTCTTGGATTGCTGCGTTTCACAGTTGCAATGCAGATGCCGTGTAATTATGATAACAAACAGAGGTTTAAAAGGTCAACAGTATTCATAACCCATTTTACTTAGCAAGAAAACAATATAGTACCAGATTTTATTCACTGGGAATTGGTTGGTTCAAGAAAGGTGGATAAGAGGATGGCCTACCTAAACAATAGGCCAATGAGAGGCTGGATGGCCTACCTAAAACACAGCTATGACTTAGTGGATATATGTATGTATGTATTTGTGTGTATATATATATACACACACACACACACACACACACATTACATACATACATATATGTATTTACACACACCACAATAATTGATAATTCACCACAATAAAAAAAA